TTGAATAATTGTAGATTTTGAAATAATGGGATGTGCCTTTAAAATTTTATGGGTCTTAGAGGCTTTTAGTTTAGCATACTTAATTGGACTAGTTATTTAAATTGACTCAATCCATTATTCATTATTTTATTTATTTATTTATTTTTTATGTCTATACTCACATTCTTCAATAAAATAATATTACACGTAAATCAAAAATTTTTTCTTATTTTTTAAGAACACATTATCCGTCAGTCTACTGTTTCAAAATGCATTTTTAGATTATATAATGGGGCTCAAACAGGCTAGATTATTTGTTCAGGTCATTGCTTGATTTGTAACTAAACTCAGTGGGTAGTTAGTGATCAGTGGAGCAAAATTGCAGCAAAAGTCAGTAGGAAAAGACTACACTTTTTCCTGTCTAATTGTAGTATATAAACTTTACTCTGAGTAATAGATGACCAAATAGGAAAAAGAAGTTTGTCTTTCAATATTAAAAAAAATGACAATAAATTCCAGTTTCATGCATTTAAAATTGTACATCAAGTTACACAACACGATAGAGTAAAACGGTATCGTAGAATAATCACACTACCACAAAGTCCTAAACCTAGTCCTAAAGTAGGGAAAGGAACAGCGTGATCACATACAGCTAATCGACGCTCTAACAAGGGGTCAGAAATAAGTAGAGCCTAAAAGTTCCATGCCAGACAAAAACAGCTAAAATACAAACAAGATGAACACAAATGACACAATCAGCAAGTAATTTCATGGCTATGCTCTCTAGAATCTTCTCCTTGGAGTGAGGCATTGTTTTCTGGGTCCTTGCCCTTTGAGCCGTGCATCGAGTTCATAGAAGCCGAGTTGTCTCCATGGAAGGAAGTGGAGGAGGTCAAATTTGGCTTCGGTCCATTGTAGGCACCTTCGTATCTTTCTTCAGAAATAGGATTAGCAAGACTTTGAGTAAAAGCTATCGTGTGTTCGTATTTTGGTTTCTTGGGCTTTTGCTCTTGCTGATGACCCGGGATAAAGCTCCCTAGCACAACCTGTAATATATACATGTTTGGATACGTTACTTTTATTTTATTTTTTAGGTAAAAAAAATTTATTATGAAAGTAATTCTTGTCTTCTGTCGATATTTAACACAGCCTGTCTTATTTGCATTATTCAAAATAATTTTCTCACCTGAACAGGTCCAGCTGCGACTAGCATGCCAGCAACTCCTCCCCCCATAACACGACCGTCCGGTCCTGCCAGAGAGACACTCATTCCACCAGATCTGCTTTTTGTCAACCCATTTTCGCTGAGCATAAATGATCCCATCAAAGAAAGTATTTCAAAGCAGCCCTGCAGAAATCACACATTTTATATTTGGAAACATTATTATTCAATAACTCAAAACACATTGTCTGAAATTTCTAATGGTCAAAAAAATCTCCCACCTCGTAGGTCAAAGTACCACCCGAAGAATTAGGTTGACGCAGTGTAACATTTGAGATTGCACCATTTGCTGTCAGAACGCAAATGGCTCTAGACCCTTGTTGAGAAAAAGATATGATCTTCATTGTAATATCCTAATAAAATGAGAGAAGAACCAAGATTCAAAAACATAAACATGACCATTATAAATAAATCAAACGAAAAAATCAAAGTTCCAATAAAATTAACAGTATGAATTGAAATGCATCTCAACATCCTAATATTGCTGCAACTTATACTATGCAATTATTCAGGGGCGGAACCAGAATTGGATCTAAGACCGGGCTACAAA